ACACAAAGTGTAAAATACTGTTTCAGTACTAGTTATAGCATTACTTCACATTGGACAACACACTAAGGACAGATCCCACATGAGAATTAAGTACACAGTGACTCCTGTTGTTGACTTAACAATTTGACACTCTTGTTTATGGCGTCAGTAATCTCCCTAGGCTCTAGTCATGAGTTGCCAAGGCTATGGAAGCCTTTTGAGTTCACTGACTCTGATCATATTTAGACAAGGTCATAGTCAGAGTGGAAGTTCTCTCCTCCCTTCAGAGAAAGGTACCTCCTTCTTTGATGACCTGTTCTTTCCACTGGGATCTCACTCGCAGAGATCTTCCATTTAGGTCTTTTTTTTTTCCAGGGTGTCTTGGTTTTCCATGCCTAAAATACTCTCATGGGCTCTTCAGCCATATCCGAATGCCTTAAGGGCTGATTCTGAGGCCAGAGTGCTATTTAGGACATCTGCTATTCTATGAGTCTACTGTGTATCCCAATACCCAGGATGGATCGTTCTCTCCCTTTTTGATTCTGTCAGCTAGTATTAGCAGACATTAGTCTCACACAAGAGATATTTCTAAAACAGGGTAATACCTAAAGGTTGCAAGGGATGGAAAAGACAGCACAGGACTGATATTGCAGAAGAAGAAATATTAAGGCAAAAAAATGATTATTTGTAATGAACATAGTGATTTAATGATTTAAGAACAATTTACAGAGAAACAATGGCAATGCTGAATCTGGGTCCAGTTTTCTAACTTTCTGAATACATTTGACAAATCTACCTTAATGAGAGCGATTTTGCATGCCTCTTATAAACTGATCAATAAATAAATATTGATAAAGATACAGGCATTATGAACAACATAATTAATAAGCCAGATCAAAGGAGTCCTTTAGAGAGAGCTGTGTTCTACAAATAGAGAACTCACATTCCTTTCAAGTACACACTGGAAATACCCACACAGAGACCACCAAAGAAATGCAACGAAATACCAAAGGATTGATAACACAGACCATATTTTCTTTTTACAAGACAGCAATATTAGACAGCAACAGCAACAAAAAGTGGAAAACTCCATATGTTTGGAAACTAAAATAATCTTACATGTATTCCTGAATCAGGGGAGAAATAATAGAACTTTCGAAATATTTAGAACTGAATGACCCCAGAACACTACCCATAAAAACCTGCAGCGTGGCCTTAAAATTGCAATTATTAAGACAAGGTGTTAACTGTAACTGCAAGGATGAAGGTTGTCAAGAAGGAGAAGGGGAGATGGGGGAGTTTTCCAGAGGAAAAACATCTGATCGGAGAATTAAAATACAGGTAGAAGAGAAGAGGTGCAGACGAAGCCTGGAGGAAAATATTCCCGAAAATCTTCAGTGGTAAATTATTCAGGGTTTCGCCAGTGTTTCCCAGGATCCACAACAACCAGAAGATTCCCATTTTAAAGTAAGGGGAAAACACAGGGCTGGCACTGTGGTGTAGCGGATGAAGCCGCTGCCTGCAGTGCTGCATCCCATATGGGTGCCGGCTCTAGTCCTGGCTGTTCCTCTTCCAGTCCAGCTCTCTGCTATGGCCTGGGAAAGTGGTAGAAGATGGCCCAAGTGCTTGGGCCCCTGAACCCATGTGGGAGATCCAGAAGAAGCTCCTGACTCCTGACTTTGGATTGGCTCAGCTCTGGCTGCTGTGGCCATTTGGGGAATGAAACAGCAGATGGAAGACCTATCTCTCTCTCTCTCTCTCTACTTCTGCCTCTCTGTAACTCTGCCTTTCAAATAAATAAATCTTTAAAACAAGACAAAACAGGGCCATCCTAGATGCATCCTAGTCTCTTTCCAGGCCAAGTGAAAATATGTTATTGACTATGTCATAACTGCCATAATTGGTAGCACTTCAGGGTTTCTTTTTTTTTATTGATAGTACTACTAAATTTGCACTTTTATTATGTAAATTATTTTGCATTTTTAAATTAAAGTTTATATTAATTTTTTAAAACTGCAATCAAAATGTAAAAGACTCCTTCCCAAAACAATAGCTTCCATTTGTCTTGGCTACATGGCAAAGAGCAGGAGCTAATATTTCCTTGGTTACCTCAACAGTATTTTAATTGAATTTCAACTTCACTGAGCAGTCAGATTTTCCTTATGGGTTCATGATTTCACATAAAGGATACATAATCTAGAACCAATGACAAAGAATAATTAAGACCAGTTCTCTCATTTTACAAATAAGAAGACCAACCCACAAAGGTCTTTCTGGGACTTGCCCCAAAGTCACAAACGTAGTAAGTGGAAGATTTTGAATTGGAACTTAGGTCTCTCAATTTAGAGAGCATTTCACACCAAACATATTTAAACAAACATGAATTTCTTTTGACCACTTTGATTGCTCATAAATTTTTTAAATAGGTAGCAGTTGTGTCTCCAAGTTGTGTTATCCAACATAGCACACTACGAGGCGTGTACCCTATCCCTTCACTTGGGAATGACTGCACATGTGGCAAAGGCCCCTGATTCTGGGAGGTAGTAGGTCATTCTCTTATGACCATCTCTTTAGAGAAATAGTATAGGGGACAGCCTGTTGAGGATTAGGAGAAAGAACTTGAAATTGCATTTTTTTCCTATAGAAATGAAAAATAAGTAAAAAAAGAAAGAATAAAGCCTGACAAGTAATTACTGAATTATTTTACCTTTAAAGAAAAGGCTCAATTCAGTTGGCTCAACTATGTTGAAATGTGAATTGGTCATTATAATAGCAAAAAATATATGGAAGCTAATTTTCTTCCAATTAGTTTAATTTCCCCCCAATTTAGTTTTCAACCCAAAATCTATAGCTAAAAAGTAATGTAGGTGGGGAGGGTGGTCAACAAATTTTATTTCTAATAACATTTTTGAAAGAGCAACCATAGAGCTGGTCAGGACTTAGGCCACCATCAGCTGTTAAATTCCTCCAGAACTCTTGTTCTCCCTCTGACCCCGTCAGTCTTACTCACTGGAAGAGTTGTGTGTCTTTGGAGAATTTGTCATGGATTTTCTCTACCAGTTCTATGAGGAGAGAGGCTATGCTGCAAAAGACCGGGGAACTTCAGAACCAGAGAAATGATCACACTTTCCCTCGAGTCAGTAGCAGATCGGACTGTGAAACTGAGAAAGTGGGCTGGGCGTATTAGAATATGCATAACTCTTGGGAAAACTGAGCCCGTCATTACAGGAAGCATGCAAATGAGCCATTGTGGAAACTGTCAGCTGCACCATCTAAATAAGTAGGTGACCTTCATCAAAGTTTTGATGACCTTGTGAAAAGTTACCCCAGAAGGGGGCTTTCTTAGTCCATTGTTTGTTGCTATAAAAAATACCTGAGGTTGGGTACTTATGAAAAAAGACAAACAAACAAGAGAGACAGACTTAGTTGACTCATGGTTCTGGTGGCTGGAAAACCTAAACAACACAACACGGTGTCCGAGGAGGCCTCTCCTGGCTCTGTGACAACACGGCACAGGAGCAGAAAGGGAAACAGCCACATGCAGAAGGGGGCAAGCACGGGGGGTGGGGGGTTGGCCTCACTTTATAACTGGCTCTTTTGCGAACTAACCTGGCCCTGCAGTCACTCATGAATCCCTTCTGAGAGTGGCACTCGCATGAAATAATCACTATCACTCCACCTCTCAAAGAGGTCTCCATCACACTGGGGACCAGGATTTTAGGATTTGAAACTTATGGGGACAAGATACACTCATAGCATGTCCAAACCATGCCATGGGCTCACCACACCCTCAAATAACTTCCCCAGTAAAATCAGCTATACTCTTCTCCTACTAGCCAATAAAGAAGGTTTTAGAATGGGAAGATACTACTAACAAAATGCTTCATTATCTTTGATGCCTAATAATTTTTAAACTGCTTTCCTATCCATCTTGTGATCTAGCCCCCAAAGAATCTTGTGAAGTATTTATTTGTCCCTTTTTTACAGATAAGGGAAGAAAAGATTTGGAGAGGGTTAAACTTCCAAAGACCACACTGACATGGACTTTGGATCACAACTTGGGACTCCCTCTCCCATAGCCTCAGGCTGCCCTATCCGCTTCCAGCCCAGAATGGTGGCTATGTTCAGATGATACCCTAAGTTTCAGTTTCATGACATGGTCCAGTCATAGACTGGCCAAGGATAGCAGTGGTGTTCACCACCTCAGCCCTGCCCTCTGCCTTACATTGGCTCTACAGTCTTGGAAGAGGTGGGAGGGAAGAGTGTTGCTGGAGCCAGGATGACTTCCACTGGGCACAGGCTCAGCCTGAAGAAAGAAATTGCAAACTGCCATGATGCTGTCTTTCATTTTTTCTTAAAAATATTTAAAACTTCTTTTTATTTTTTTTTGAAAGGCAGTGGCAGAGAGACAAAGAGAGAAGAAAAAAAGAGAGAGGGATTCCATCCACTAGATCACTCCCACAAATGCTTTCAACAACCAGGGCTAGACCAGGCTGAAGCCAAGAACCTGGAACCCAATCAGGATCTCCCTCATGGGTGGTAGGTACCCAAGTACTTGAGCCATCACCTGCTGCCTCCCAGGATCACATTGGCAGGAAGTTGGATCAGAAGTGGAGCAACCAGTATTCAAGCCAGGCACTCTGATATGGGAAGTGGGCATCCCAAGCTGCAGTATAACTGCTGTGCCAAACATCTGCCCCCATCATGCTGTCCTTCTCCCATTGGGAACACAGTTCATTTCCTGTCTCCCAGAGAGTCATGTGGGACTTGGGCTAACTGCTTAGTACACTCTGCTCTTACTATATTAACTCGCAATTCGAAGTATTTTAAACTGAAAGAGAGCTTTTGTGCCCATAGACACTGTGTTTGTTGGAACTTTGTTTTAGACTTCTATGTTTCTTTATACAATATATTTAATATATTATATTTATATATAATTATAGTTAATATATTATATATGTTATATATATAAAAAGAGAAAGTTATTAAAGTGATAAACTATTATTGAATTAGCTACTTACAGCACAAAATAATTGGTTTGAAAGTTTCAAGGAGTCTGGAGTAATTTCACACACCATTAGGTGATCATGTCTGATCCAGGGGTAGGAAATGGTGCCTGCAAGAAGAAACTGTGAAGGAATCAGGACAAGTGACATAAACACTTATAAATACCAAATTCTTGCAAGAGCAGAGCAGTTTTTACTGGACTAATACTCCTGTGGATGAAAGTTGCAAATGCTGGATGAAACATAAAAACAGTCTGAAGGCATTGGAAAGTGATCAGAAGCAGTCAGAAACAGGAGAGTATTTGACCCATGGAAGAACGGAGCCCCTGAGGAAATTCCCAGCCCCACTGCTGCACAGGATGCTGGGATGCAAGCCAAAACCTCACAGTCTTGTTGGCCTGAAGGAACAGAGAACAGAAAGGCTGAAAAATGGGAGAGAGAAACCTTGAACAGAGGAAGCCATGGTGGTGGTGGGATAAATTCTGCATATGAACTCCCTTCAAATCCTTAATTGACTTCTTTTTTAATTTTATATATTTGAGGTTTACAATGTGACACTTTAGAATACATATAAATAATAAAATGATTACTACAGCAAAGCAGATTAACCTAGCAACTCATATCCGTTTTTTGTGTGACAAGAGCAGCTAAAATCTACTTATTTAACAAAAATCCTTAGTACAATACAGTTTTTTATAGTGTGTATAGAGTCTCCCATTTGATTTTTCTTACTTATCTGCTATTTTGCGTCCATTGACCTACACTCCCCCCCACCCCTTGCCATTACCATTCCTGCTCCTACCTGGCTCATGCTAACCACTATTTCATTCTCTATCTCTGTATATTTGAGCTCTTTCAATAAAAGAATTCTACACACAAGTGAGGTCATGCAGTGTTTTTCTTTCAGAGACAAAAATATTGTTTGACTGGCTTCTGAGCAGTACATCCATGAGCAGGATTCCAAAGATCCCAAGAGGCAAGTGGCGCGTAGGAGGCTGAAACAGTGAGGAAAGAGTTCCACTGCTGGAACCACATGGGAAATGGAGTTTGGGGTTTGAGTCTTGACAAGTTAGAAGAGTGGGGTAAAACTGTGAACTCCTCACTGAGACGTCAGAGTCCTTAAGGATAAAATCCATACAACAGACTAATGGGTTTACCCTACAGCTAAAGGAAAAAGAAAATAACCAGAGGTTAATGGTGATCTGTTAGGAATTTGATTGCTTGCTCGAACAAAATTTGACACTCTTCAGGGTAAGATGACAAACCATGAGTCTCTACAATATATCACTTGGATGTCTAGTATGCAATTAAAAACTACTCGAATTGAAAAAAAAAAGTAAATGTGACGCATAGTCAAAAGAAAATTCAATAGAAATAATAGAAATAGATGGAAAGTAGTTTGGTGTTGGACTCAGTAGTCAAGGACTTAATGCTTGTCTACTAATAATGCTGATATTTATGTTAAAGAGGCTATTGGGGCCGTTCTAGTCCCGGTCAGGGCGCCGGATTCTGTCCTGGTTGCCCCTCTTCCAGGCCAGCTCTCTGCTGTGGCCAGGGAGTGCAGTGGAGGATGGCCCAGGTGCTTGGGCTCTGCACCCCATGGGAGACCAGGAAAAGCACCTGGCTCCTGCCATCGGATCAGCGCGGTGTGCCGGCCGCAGCGTGCCAGCCGCGGCGGCCATTGGAGGGTGAACCAATGGCAAAGGAAGACCTTTCTCTCTGTCTCTCTCTCTCACTGTCCACTCTGTCTGTAAAATAAAAATTTTTTTTAATTTAAAAAAGAGGCTATTGGAAGATAGTCATAAATAAATTTTATACATATATAATGCTTTAGGAGATCTAAAGAATAAAAAGAAAATCCTAAAACTGAAAAATACATTATTCATACTTTTAAAAATCATTAAATGAGACTAATGATGCCGGCGCCGCGGCTCACTAGGCTAATCCTCCGCCTAGCGGCGCTGGCACACCGGGTTCTAGTCTCGGTCGGGGCGCCGGATTCTGTCCCGGTTGCCCCTCTTCCAGGCCAGCCCTCTGCTGTGGCCAGGGAGTGCAGTGGAGGATGGCCCAGGTGCTTGGGCCCTGCACCCCATGGGAGACCAGGAAAAGCACCTGGTTCCTGGCTCCTGCCATTGGATCAGCGCAGTGCGCCGGCCGCGGCGGCCATTGGAGGGTGAACCAACGGCAAAGGAAGACCTTTCTCTCTGTCTCTCTCTCTCACTGTCCACTCTGCCTGTCAAAAAAAAAAAAAAAAATGAGACTAATGATTACAGAATCATTGAAGAATGAGTGAACTTGATGGCAAGCCAATAGAAATCATTCAGACTGAAACACAGATAAAAGAAAGGTAGAGAGAAAAAAGAAAAGTCTCGATGACATGTGGGACAGTATCCAGGGAGGTCATAGGGGTGTAAATTGATTTCAAGAGGAGAGGAGAGAAAGAATAGAAGTAGAACAGAAAAATACTTTTAAAAATAAGTGCTGGGGCCGGTGCTGTGGCACAGTAGGATAATCCTCCGCCTGCGGCTGGTTCGAGTCCTGGCTGCCCTCTCCTCTGATCCAGCTCTCTGCTATGGCCTGGGAAAGCACTGGAAGATGGCCCAAGTGGTTGGGTCCTTGCACCAACATGGGAAGCCCTGTCTGTAATTCTACCTCTCAAATAAATAAATAAAATCTTTAAAAAATAACTTAAAAATAAGTGCTCAATATTTTCAAAATTGATTAAAAGATAAACGCAGAAGTCCATGGATCAAAGTTGTTGAGTGAAGTCAAGCAGATAAATATTAGAGTAACCCAATCTAGGTCCATCATAAACAAACTAATGAAAATCAAAGATCAAGAAAAAAAGAATCTTAACGTAGCCAGTGAAAAAAGGTAGTAAGTACAAGGGACATGGTTAGAATAACTACCACTTGAAAAGGAAGAGAAGCCAGAAGACAATGGCATGACATCTTTGAACACCTTACGTGGAACTGTGTATCTAGCAAAGTGTTTTTAAAAATTAAAGTGAAATGACATTTTCAGACAGATAAAAGTTGAGAATATTTACACCAGCAGAACTGACTACAAAAAATGACTAAAGATTCTAAATGCCTAAATCTATTTTCGATTTTGAAAAGCTAAAAAATGCTAAAAATTGTTCAGAAGGGCAATAATCTCCAAAGTTCAGATCTACAGAACAGAAGGAGGAGCACTAGAAATGGTAAACGCGGTGAGGTGCCTCTCCACGACAGGGGAATGTTCTGGGAACCAGGTCATCATGGTGAGACCGCCACAGAGCACAGCGACACACACCTGCACGGAACACCTGCTACGATACTGCAAGCAGCCATGACAGTCCACATACAAACGCTACAATAAAAACACAACATAAAGATGGAAAAACTTGTTTCATCTACATCAGGCCTTCACCATGAAAGGAACTGGCAGGACAGGAAGTAAACCTGGGTGAGTAAGTGATGGGTGCCGTGCAGGTCTGGGACATTGCCACACCTGCCGTAGACTTCATAAACTCCGTGCTTTCAGACCACTAAGGCTATAAAAACTATTCCCTTTCTCCAATAAGAAATGAACCTGATTCTACTGCAGCATTTCATTTTATAAACTTTCAGAATCCTTTTAACTTTTTGTTGACTCTTGTAACAATAGTTAGCTTAAGGCACAAACACATTGTACAGTTATACAATTTTTTTTATATTTTTAATCTGCAAGCTTTTTTCCTATTTAAATTTTAATTTATGTTTCAAACTTCTGTGTTATAAATAAGACACACGCACACACACACACACACACACACAAGTCCAGGCTACATAAGGTCAAGTTCATAATGATCACTGTCCTCCCACATGTTGTCTCACTGGAAAGTTTTCAGGGCCAAGGACATGCAGGGAGCTGCCATCTCCTCAGAAAACAATGCCTCTTCTAGACACCTCCTGGAGGATCTGCCTGAGGCTACTGGACTGTCAACTTTTATATACATACATATATATATATATATATATATAGAAGGAGTATGCTCTAAAATAATAGCTAAAAGTACAGTATAGTAAATAATAGTGAATAAACCTATAACATTTATTATAGTCATTTATTATCACTACCAAGTATTTAACTGTACATAATTGCATGTGCTGTACTTTTATAAGACTGGCAGTGTAGTAGGTTTGTTTGCACCTGCACACCACACACAGGTGTGAGCACTGCTGTTACAATGGCTATGACATCAATAGGCAATAGGAATTTCTCAGCTACACTATCTAGGTGATAGGAATTTTTCAGCCCCATTAGAATCTATGGGGCCACCTTCATATATTCAGTCTGAAATTGACTGAAATATCATTTGTTGTATGGTACATGACTGTATGTGTGTAATTATAAAACACTATTTTTCCTTTATAAAAAAAACTTTAAAAGTTGATTGATAGATAAAACAGAAAATCTTTTGTGGAGGGTTATAACGTACGTAGCAGTAAAACATAGGACAATAATAGCACAATTATACCGTTATGAAAGGTACATGAAGCAGTACAACATTAATTGAACATATATTGTGATAGGTTAACCATGTATATGGGTTGATTCCTTGGGATAGATTATAAAGGAGTATAGATAAAATGTCAACAGAGGTGAAAACAGAATGGAATACCCCAAATCATTTGATTATACACACACACACACACACACACACACCAGAAAAGGAAAGGCAAAAGAACAGAGGTACAAACCAAAAACAAACAGGAAGATGGTAGATTTACACCCAGCCACAACAATAATCTGATGAGATGGGAATGACTTGAACACTCCAATTTATGGACAAAACATTTCCGGATTGTCAGACCAGGAAAGCAACAACAGTAATAACTGTTTACAGAGGAGTGCTTCAATGGTAAAAACATAGGTTGAAAGTTAAAGGATAGGGCTGGCGCTGTGACGTAGCGGGTAAAGCTGCTGCCTGCAGTGCTGGCATCCCATATGGACACCAGTTCAAGACCTGGTTGCTCCACTTCCGATCCAGCTCTCTGCTATGGCCTAGGAAAGCAGTAGAGGATGGCCCAAGTCCTTGGGCCCCTGCACCCACATGGGTGGCCTGGAAGAAGCTCCTGGCTCCTGG